AGATTTTTTTTCGTTTTTTTTCGTTTTTTTTTTTTTTTTTTTTTGTGTCAAATACACTACGCCTCCCCTAAAATGAGATCCTGGCTCCGCCCTTGACCATCGCCATCTCCTTTCACCACCACAACCGCCATCGCTTTCTACCACCTTCCATCACCACCCTTCCGCCACTGCCACCACCACTATTGCCGCAGCTGCCTTCCACCACCACCACTACTGCCGCAGCCGTCTTCCACCACCGTCGCCACCACCACAACCGCCATCGCCTTCCACTACCTTTTATCATCACCATTACCACCTCCATTGGCTTCAACCATTGCCACTTACACCACTATCTCATTCGACAACACTACTACCACCGCCTTCTACCAACACCATTGTCGCCTTCCACCACTACCACTACAGCTACCGTCACTATCACCATCTTTCACCATTGCCACCGCCACTGCCTTCCAACACCACCACCTACACCACTAACGCTTTCCACCTTCACCACCATCCACCACCGCCATTGTCACCATTTATTTTTAAAAAGTTATTAGAGAATGTCATTTTGTTAATTTAATTTATTTGTTACTAAGAGGGATATTTTGGAGAATTCAATTGAAATTTATTCCATTCTAAATTTTAAATTGGTTCAACCAAACAGTAGAATGGTTATTATCATTTCATTCCTACACATCTCATATTTACAACCAAACAATAGAATGAGAATGGTCATTCCATTCTATTCTACTTACATTTCATTCCATTCATGCACACCAAATACAAAATTAGTTCATAAGTCATTAAGGATTTGTTTGGTAATGTTTTTAGTTTTGATATTTAGTCTTCGTTATAGTGTTTTTTTTTTTAAAAAAAGTCAACAAAATGGATTTGGTAACTCTATTATGACTTTTCATATTTCAAAACTTTTGTAAACTCTTTTCATATTTGCTTCACAATTATCAACTCTACAAATGTGAGCTTTGGTTTCAGTTTTGGTTTTGAAATACTATTATTTTATTATTTTTCACAATTAGATAAATGTTATTTTATTATTTTTCAATTATACTCAAATAGTAAATAAATAAATATATATATTTTATTATACTTGAATAGTAAAATTATAAATGCTATTTTATTATTTTATTAATTTTCAATTATAATCAAATAGTAAATAAAATATAAATTTTCAATTATACTCAAATAGTAAAAAAAAAAATAAAAAAAATAAATTTAATTATACGCGAGTAGTAAAATTTAAAATGTTAATTTATTATTTTATTAATTTTCAATTATATTCAATAGTAAATAAAATATTATTTTATTATTTTTCAATTATACTCAAACAGTAAATCAAATTTAAAAAACAATTTATTATACTCGAATAGTAAAATTAAAAATGTTATTTTATTATTTTATTAATTTTCAATTATACTCGAATAGTAAATAAAATATTATTTTTTTGTTTTTCAATTATACTCAAATAGTAAATAAAATATTTTATTGTACTCGAGTAGTAAAATTAAAAGTGTTATTTTATTATTTATCAATTATACTCTAATAATAAATAAGAGAGTCAATTTCTTTTTAAAAAAAATTACTAGTCATATTTTCTATTCTTTCATTTAAAAAAATCAACAAATGTATGTTACCAAACGTATTTTAGTTTTAACAGATATGACTGCACAACTTTGGTATAAAGGACCCCCAAGGTATAGTGACATGAATTCGGGAGATAAGTTTTTGAAATATCGCTTTCGAACCGTATTTTTAACTTAAATAATGCGTGTATTGTATGATAAAAAAAAAGCGCACACACACTTTGGTATAAAAAGGTGTTCAGAATACTTTTTAAGTAGAAAAAGTTTAGTCAAATTATTGTTGATAATTTCGAAATAGGAAAGTTTGAAATTCAAAGACATACTTCTTAAGGGTTACTATATTTAATTGTTTTTTAGGAGGGCGATCAACCTACATTAAATTAAATTTATGTCTTAAATCATTTTGTGATTATATTTATTTCTATGGTTATTGCAAAAATATAATTTGTGGGGTGATTAAAAAAAAAAAAAAAAAAGCTCCATGAATCTAAAAGGATTTATTTGGTGAAAAACCATTATTGAAACATGTGTACTTTGACTCCAAGTTGGTGTAAAATAGGATCCAAACGACCATTTATTTATGATTCACCTAAATTTTAACGTGTAAGAAACAAAATAAAGTGTGCGTTACAAAAAGACATTGGACAAGTTGAAATCAGGACCACGTGATAAAAAAACTTGTCCACACATAGTTGTTGGGGGAGTAAATAACTGCCTTTAATATTAAGCATACACGTGTATGATGGTTATTTACATACATAAAAATGTTATATAGATTATAGATATATGTACTATATATATATATATATTTTTGGCAACCCAAATAACCTTACATTGCCACAAAGATTACATAGCAACAGACACCACCAATGATGCCTTTAGGTTGGGGCAATCTCCCATAGCCACGAGAAACTTCACTGGGGCACAAAAATTATATTCGCACTAAATATGCTTATTTTTTAAAAAAGTAAATAAAATGAAACAATTATTTTTTAGAAGTACTTTCACCCTTCCAATTTTTAAAAAATTAATCTTCCACACCAGTTGGAAAGCATAATTGTGTCATTTTAAAATAAATAAAATAATAAGTATAGTGTTTCAGTGAAACTTCAACGTCACATCTTTAAACGTAAACGCGTACACTTGAATATATTAATAATACAAGGACATAATAGTAACATTTGATTTTTTATTTTGGTCCCATTTTTTTTTTAAGACAAAAAAATTATTGTGAACATGCCTAAAATAGCATTTTTAGGTTATTACTATGAAAAACAAGTTTAAAAACATATATAGTTTGAAATAACATTTTTAGGTTATTACTCCGTTAAACATGTTTAAAAAAGAGCAAAGTTGATCGATTTATAAGTTACAACAGCGCGATTACTCATGCAATTACGGAATAATAATGAATAGCCCACTAATAACAAAGTTTGAAAAAAGAGTAATGATACTGGCAATGTCTTCACCAATAATTCTATATGATTAAATGACAATAATAGAACGTGTCTCCTATTAAATATTAATTAAGGATATATTGGATTTTTGTTACTATCCATAATTTTTTTCATTTTCTTTGATAAATCACATTGAGCTTCTATGATGTTTGGAAAAATTAATTACACACAGATAGATTGTTTGATCTGTAATATTTTGACCTCCTTTGAAATTCGATGCATATGCTCAACGTCATCTGTTAATGAAAATTCAAAAAATAACTAACTTATCCTTTTGTTGCGTTAGAAAGACTTTAATAGCTTTCTATTATGACATGAAATTACAAAAATACTACGAGATGCCATTGAATTGCAAATTATCAATTTTCATACCAATTCTATATTAAATTTTCAAATTTTTTTTTTGTTAATGGCAATTGATTAGTTTTTTTTTTTTTTTTTATAAAAAAAGATAGAATAATATAGTATTTACAAGATGGAGAAAAAAAATTAACAGTCTTTTGGTTTGATATATTTTTTTATTAAAATAATATTAAATTAAATAAGGATAACAAAGACATGAGATTAAAGTAATTTTTTTTTAATTTTTTAAAAAAGATAGGATAATATAGTAATTTACCATTAAAAAATATCATTTTTGGACTTTGTTTCACTTTTGATATGGAAGGCAAAAGCTGCAGAGCTATCGAAGGCTCAGTGGACATTGGAAAAGCACGTGCCTGACAAGACTTGTGTCAGGTTTTTTGGTCCATGGAAAGGGGACGAACCATATTAATTGCTACATCAGCTATCAGCATATATCATGTCCGACACAAATTATCATTTGACAAATATACCCTTCAATTTTCGCTTTTTAATTTCTTTATCGGAGCAATTGAATTTCTTTCAAATAATAAATCCGAAGTTGGTAACTAGCATGGGAACATGAAACTTTTATTCAAATATAACGAATTTTATTTTTTTTTTATCTCAAAATAAGTGTCATGTATATATATATATATTTTTTATTTGTCTAAAAATAAATGTTCATTTTCTTTCTTTAAATGATATATTTTACATCTTTTTATATATATATATCCTTTGAGTTACTTAAATAAGAGGGAATAACTTTTATGTGAGATAACTTTGGTTTCAGTGACTTGTTTTGTTAATTGTACCAAGTGTCCATTAGTTTGGTTTTATTTTATTTTATTTTATTTTATTTGAAACTCAGTATCCATTTATTTTTGAATCATCTTCAAGGTAAGATTGAGGGTTTATTATTTTATCCAATTATAATATGACCTTGCAATATTGTAGAATACTAATCTATGATCAATCACAAATAATAAATAAATTAAAAAAAATAAGAGAGAGAGAAAAAAAAATCCTTCTAAATAACTCCTTTATAAATTTGATATTGACAGCACGGTCACCACCACAATTAGCGTCTTTTAATTTTTTTTGTTTTTTGGTTCTTGCAAAATTTTTAGGTTATGTTGAGTTACATAAAATTGAAGTTTTGAAATTAAAATTGGTAAAATTTGAAAAAAATTTAGTTCAATTTTTTTAATTATTTTTTTTCAAATTCTATCGATTTTAATTTTACAATTTTAATATCATACGTTTTGAATACACTCTTAGATTAATTATGACATTTTTTTTCTTTATAATTTTTTACCTCACCAAAGAACTGCATAAGTTACAATATATTTGACAAAGGAATAAAAATTCCAAAATAACTACTCTTTAAAATATTGCTCAATCTAGATCCAAAATCTAATTCTAATAAAAAAGTCAAATCCTAATCAGGTGCTTGATCAATCTAGATCCAAACTCCATAGAAAATTGACACGTGGTGGTCTTTTTTGTGAAATATCTAACGTTTGAAGGGTATATCTGTAAATGGCCACTCGCACTCGCACAGAAAATCGTACGAAACATTTTTTAATTAATTAATATTTTTTTTTGGGGTGTAAATCGTAAGCACAGCGTTGATGACAGAAAACTAGTTCCGCTTCACCAATTTTTAGAGAGAGAGAGAGAGAAACTTAGTCTAGAGAGAGAGGCAGGGGATGCTTCAGTTGCATAGCTCGCGACCATGGATTTCGCCTCCAATTCCAAGATTCAACAAGATATCTTCTTGGAAGAGGTGACTCATTTGTGTCTAACCTCGAATTTCAGTTCAATTTGTTTGAAGTCCTGTTTTTCAGTGATCTCTATTTGAACTAGATTGTTATATATATATATATATATATTATGTCATATGTGTGTGTTTATGTATGTATATATATTTATATATAAATGCATGTAGTTGTGTATGCATAATGCATCAGCGTAGAGCTTACTTGTATGCTTCTAGTGAGAACCATCCAGTGTATTCAATTATATGAAAAACCACTTAAAATTCCATCAATTGGCGTATGAGCAGCTTAGAACTGTGAAAAGAACTTAGAACTAGAAGGCTATGATTAGAATGTTCATGCATTCATGAATCTGTGATGCTTGGCCTTATATATTCTTTTATTATTTTTTTAATGCTTGAAGTTTGCATTAACAAATTCAATAAATTAAAGTCATATAATTGAATTTGGTACAGATTTTATTGGAATATCTTTCAAACTTTATGCATTTTAGGTTAAATTTAAGCTAAGTAATTAGTGCACTGATGGTATTCAAACTATTCATTGTAACTAAATGAAAAATGGTTTTTAGGCTCTACTAGGGTAAGAGACGTTTTTTTTTTTTTTTTTTTTTTTAAATAAAAATATATATATGTGAGCATTCTTGATTGTCAGCGTCTGTATTTTAGGCATCACTTGGTTCCATTATAAAATACATGCTTTTCTTTGGGGAGTACAAAGTGTTTTTTTTTGGTTATGTACTTTGAAAGTACTATTATGAAGTGTAAGTAGCAAATGATTCATTTTCCAGTTGAAGCAAAAGTTAGTGCCTCTAGATGCGAAGAAATAAAATATTTAAAATAAAAAAAAAATAAAAGGTTTCTTAATAAATTGCTGGTAGAAAAATATTGACACATTTCACGAGATACTCTTCGATTTTAGAGCCACGGGTGATCAAGTCCGAGCACAGAATATAAGGGATATCAAACAATTAATATTTAAACAAGCATTGGTATACAAGATGAATTAAAAATAAATAGATAAGCTGAAAAGAAAACTAATTAATAATTAAACATCCCATACTAAAGTTCTCCAATCCTCTGATACCAGTAATTAATTAAAACCACAACTCGGGAATCCATATTGTGGACCCCTAATAATATCCTAACTGAAATAACTGAACTGAAATAAAACTAATAATTAAACCATGAAGAAGAGTCCTACGTAGAGTCGGAAGAGTGAATGACTGTCTCTGCTTGGCACGAACAATCTCTGGAACTGACGAACACCTGAAAAATAATGGTGGGTCAGGCCCACAAACAAGTTCTAATCTACTACATCCCAAACAGAGACCCGACACACGTACACATCCTAATTAATTCAACAATAACTAAATAGTCTATACGTAGATATACACACACTAAAGGAACCTCACTAGACTATAGAGTTGTCTCAACCTGAATAGTAGGCAACATGCAAAACGCACATATAGTGGGCATGAGTACTTAGACCTACTAGGGTACATAACTATACTATATCTAGCTACACATCCCTGGCAATATATGCATCCTAACCACTGATCCTGAGACTCAAGCTCATATCGTGGCGTATAATTCTATATGTAAAATCCGTCCTATCCAACCATCAAAATAACATATCCAATTATTATTTCAATAATATGTCATCTAACTATTCCGTTGACCTGACACGAATAAGTAGGACTTAACACTGTGGTTAATCCGTTCCCTTATTTAAAATAGGTAGGACTTAACTCTTAAGTTAATCCATCCCTAATGCCCCCATCCCATAATGGTGCCATAATGGTGCATTAATCCGTATCAGAATCAAATAAAAGTTTCAAATTCAAGGATAATGTCAATAATATTTACATATAACAATCTAAATAAATATGATACAAATCATATACACATCCTTTGCATTTACTTGAGCAAAAATGTAAATTCTAAATAGCATGCATTTAATTTACATCATAGAACATTAAAATGCATCTCAACTAAATTGTACATCTCCATGTTCGAATTAAATTAATTTAAATCTAAATAATTGATTAAAATAATATAATCCAACAATATCTAATTAATTTATCATCTTAAAATTAATTACATTCCATACTTAGCATGTAAACTTAAATCATACTTTCCAATTTTTAATGAATCTATTTAAATCACTTAAATATTTAATATAGATCTATCAATCCAAACATAACAAATATTAATTTAATATTTCAGCATTAATCAAAATAAATAAATAAAACATATAAAGGATAAATTTAAAGAATGTATAATTATCAACCATTATATCAACTATTATACCAACTATTGTATCAATCATATATGTACTGTGTAACATTATGGTTTTGTTAAAGCAATTCCTCGTTCAGCGTGCCTATAGGAAGAATAAATCTGACTTCACTATTTAAAGAATATATATATATCACCCATATATGCCTTATATATCAAACTGTTTTCCTTAAAGTCAATTGTAATGACTTCCTCGTTCGGCGTGTGTACTATATGAAGAAACAATTTCTAATTATAACACCAACTGATTCATTCTGTAAGCCATTATTTGATTGTTTATGTTTTTTTTTTTTTCCGTTCGGCGTGCATTGCTTTAGAAGGCAACCAAAGTCAAATTTCATCTAAATTTAATAAACTGATTCGTGCAAAGAAAATTCATGTTTATAAAAAAAAAAAAATAATAATTAAATAAAGACATCACCAAACAATGTCCAGTTCAGCAAAGATATTAAATTCATCACAAATCCATTATTAAAACACATAAATTGTAACTTCCAAATTAAGTTAAAAAAATTTGATTCAATTAATTTATTTAAATAACCTAGAATTAATCTAGCATGCATAGGGTACGAATCAAAGGAGAAGAGAAGAATTAAAACTTGCCTATAGGGACTTGATAAAAACCTTAGCCTCCTTCTTCCTTTTTCTCTTCCTTCCTCTTCCTTCTTTCTCTCTTTAAAATATAGTACGTGATATATTTTCTAACCTCTTTCATAACTCTATAGTTATATATTTATAGGCAACTAAAATAACCCTAATCCTTTTTCCATTTCAAGACAAACTAAAATAAAATAAAATAAAATTTAAATACTAAAAAGGTAACTTAAATATATGTTACGTATAATCTATGTGTACTCATTTTTATATATAATATATTAATATATATTAAATTATTATTTAAGGACTTTCCTTATATATATATATATATATTTATTTATTTATTTATTAAATATACATATACATGGGTAATTATCCGTACCCATTAAATCCCTTATCCAAGTAGCCCATTGAGCCCAATTGATTGGTCAATTATTACTATCCATATCCAATTCCTTAAAAATATAAAAATAAAATAAATAAAATAAAAATAAAAATAAAAATAAAACAATTAAATTCCTAAATAAATACACATCATCACATACAATTCAATTTAAACAAATAATTAAATCAATTAAACAAATAAACAATTAGCCAAGAAAACAACTAAATAATTAAATGCAATTAAAACTATTAAAATAATACCGAGACTATCCTTTTTAAATTAGGGGTATTACATTTCAACAACAATTAATCATGATAAAGTTCATTTATAAAAGTAGGCCTTTCGTTTTTGCCAGTAGTAAATAATATAAAAATGTACTCCTATGCATAAACTATATAATTTCATGGTTATTGAAGAAGAAAATATTCTTTTTAATTTTATTTTTTGAAGTAAAGAGTGTGTACAGATAAAGAAAGGAACTGTACAACTTACAACGGGTATACCCCAAGAATTTACAAGATCAAATAAGAGCGAAAACCACCACTGTCTTAAAATACAATCAGTGATGAAATCATAAATAATCTAGCTATAAACCCCAAAATAGTAACTAGTAAAATAACCAAACCAAAAAAATGACCCAAAGAGCATGGTATACTAAGTGTATGGAAGACAACCACCAGATGTAGCGGAAGACATAAACGAACTAACTCTAGTTAGTTCAACATGTATGGGATGCCATGGTGGGAAGCAGAAGAAAATATTCTTTTGCTAATTTTATATAGAAAGACCTTAAACACATAATCAATTCATAAACTTTGAAGCGTACGATATTTATTTTTGTTGGAGAATAATTATAGGAGTGATTTAAGCCCTTAATCACTCCTTGACAGAATGTTAATGTTGCTATACTTGGGCAATAAGTTGTTGCCATATTTATATCTGATTTTCTGTGCAATTCCTTTATTACAAGTATTCCCCAATTCACCTATAAATATTGTAAACAAACTCAAGAGAGAATGTAATAAAAGAGATGTAACCCTCTGAGCCCTTTGTGTCGTGGATGTAAGCCCTAATGACTGAACGGTTGAACCACCTTATATTATGTGTTATTCATGTTTTAATTTCTCTCTTCAACTTTTATTTTTTATTTCAGTTTATCATACCCCACTCTATACTCTACTCGTCCCAGATCTTCAGATCAACTCGTCCTGGATCTTCGGATCAACTGTATCGTCTCAGATCTTTGGATCAATTTGTTTCGAATCTTCGGATCAATTTGTCTCGGATTTTGGATCAACTTATCTTAGATTTACTCATTTCAGACTCTCGACATCTTCATATTTAATTTCAAGTTGGACACTTGAGTTAAATCTTCGTGTACCAACTTGAGAAGGGGGGGGGGGGGGGTGTTGGAGAATAGTTATAGGAGTTATTTAAGCCTTTAAATCACTCTAAATCACTCCTTGACACAATGTTAATGTTGCTATACTTGGGCAACAAGTTGTTGCCATATTTATATTTGACTTTTTGTGTAATTCCTTTATTAAAATTCTTCCCCAATTCACCTATAAATAGAGGTGGTTATTGTAAACAAACTCAAGAAAGAATGTAATAAAAGGGATGTAGCCCTCTGAGCTTTTTGTGTCGCGGATGTAAGCCTTAGAGGCTGAACCACGTTATATTATGTGTTATTCATGTTTTAATTTATCTCTTCAACTTTTAATTTTTCTTTCAACATGGTATTAGAGCAGGTTTATCATACCCCACTCTATACTTTACTCGTCTTAGATCTCTGGATCATCTCGTCTTAGATCTCCAGATCAACTCGTCCCGGATTTTCGGATCAACTCGTCTCATCTCGGATCTTCGGATCAATTTGTCTCAGATCTCCAGATCAACTCATCTTAAACTCTCGACAACTTCATATTTAATTTTAAGTTGGACACTTGAATTAAATCTTCGTGTACCAACTTGAGGGGGGTGTTGGAGAATAATTATAGGATTGATTTAAGCCCTTAAATCACTTCTTGACAGAATGTTAATGTTGCTATACTTGGGCAAGTTATTGCTATATTTATATTTGACTTTCTGTGTAATTCTTTTATTATAAGTCTTTCCCAAGTCACCTATGAATAGAGGTAGTTATTGTAAACAAACTTAAGAGAGAATGTAATGAAAGAGATGTAGCCCTCTGGGCTCTTTGTGTCGTGGATGTAAGCCCGACTGAACCACCTTATATTATGTGTTATTTATGTTTTAATTTCTCTCTTTAACTTTTATTTTTTCTTTCAACATGATATTAGAGCAGGTTTATCATACCCCACTCTATACTCTACTCGTCTCGGATCTTCGGATCAACTCGTCCCGGATCTCCGGATTAACTCGTCTCGTCTCTTCTCGGATCTTCGGTTCAATTTGTCTCGGATCTTCTGTTCAATTTGTCTCGGATTTACTCATCTCAAACTCTCGATAACTTCATATTTAATTTCAAGTTGGACACTTGAGTTAAATCTCCGAGTACCACCTTGATGGGGGGTGTTGGGGAATAATTATAGGAGTGATTTAAGCCCTTAAATCACTCCTTGACAGAATGTTAATGTTGCTATACTTGGGCAACAAGTTGTTTTCATATTTATATTTGACTTTCTGTGTAATTTCTTTATTACAAGTCTTCTCGAATTCACCTATAAATAGAGGTGGGTATTGTAAACAAACTCAAGAGAGAATGTAATAAAAGAGATGTAGCCCTTTAGGCTTTTTGTGTCGTGGATGTAAGCCCTAGTGGCTGAACCACGTTATATTATGTGTTATTCATGTTTTAATTTCTCTCTTATATTTTTTCTTTCAACAATTTTGATAAAGAGTAGTTATATAAAAATAAATATATGATCCGTCTCATTGTCATCGACTAAGAAGCACGGACACGGATACAGGACATGGATACGACACGACACGGACACGGCGACACGGCAAATCCAAAAAAATTAGGACACGGACACGGCGAATAGTATATATATATATATCAGCATTAATAATTTTTTAAAAAAAACACTGATATGTTTAGGTTGGAATATATATATATATATATCACTGATATGTTAGTATATATATATATCAGCATCTTTAGGACACGGACACGGCGAATTGTGGCATCTTTAGGTTAGTATATATATATATATCAGCATCTTTAGGGTAGTACAAAACAAAAAATAGAACATATCAGCATTAAAAAATTTTTAAAAAAAAAAAAAATTAACATATCAGCATTAAAAATTTTAAAAAAAAATTCCAGAAAAGTGTGTCCGAGCCGTGTCTGAGCTGTGTCCGAGCTGTCTGAGCCGTGTCCGAAAATTAAAAAAAATAAAAAAATTCCAGACACGTTTTGTGGCGTGTCCGACACGTGTCGGGGCGTGTCCGACACGTGTCGGACACGGATTCTTCGCCCATTTTGGAGTGGCCGTGCTTCCTAGGTCATCGAATAAGAAATGATAACTTTCAAGTACTTTTTCTTAGTTGTGCAACATTTGATTCAATAGATTATTACATAATGGCCATCATTCTAGGAAATATCTCTTCAATTTAGAAGTCCTGTACATGATCGTGTAAGAGCATGAAGCACACATAATCTAGGAAGCACGAACATAATGGACACTCCTTTGGGGACGCCATGGCGATGTCGGACACGTGTGGGACATGGCTACAGGTGTTTTGGAGTTTTTCATATTTTTTTTGGTTGGACACGACATGGACACATTTCGGGACACTTTCAGAACATGGCGAGAGTAGTTTAAAAAGGGGCCCTAATGTAAAGTTTAAGTTAAGGAAAAAAAAAAAAAATATAGAACTTTGGAAAACATGAACACCACCCATCAAGCTTTAAGCTCCAAAATAGTAATCAAATATATTATTCTTTTATTTGACGCATCCATATCGTGTTCATGTCTTCTTCATTTTTTGGGATTTGTCGTATTGTCGTGTCTGTATCATATCGTACTTGTGTCCCATGTCCACATCCATTCTTCATAGCACATAATTGGGTGCACAAATTACTTGTGTCAAACTTTGGAAACTAGTTGAGTCTGCTTTGAGAGCTATGCTGGCACTGGCAGAAGCCACCCAAGTACGTTATGGAATGTTACATACCTAGAGAGGCCGAATAGGAATCTTTTTCTCTAGATGTGTTGGAAGGTTGTTCCATTACCAATTTTTTGATCTTGTTATCAACTATCAATCATTTAAGTATCAACCAACAAAATTAAAATCAACCACAAGCAACAAAGAAGATACATGATTTTGTATGCTGAAATCCAAACTAGGAAGGCCACAAGACCTAGTTCGGATGTCAACTTATCCACTTTGCAAGAAAGAAATATAATGATTACCTCTGATTTGACGTTCTTACGTCAAAAATCACCATTTGATTTACCTTTGAATGCAATGGCTTTGGCACAGTCCCATTACAGCTCCCTTGTTAGTAACGAGCTCACCCATTATGTTATGAACCGCTTCATAGCAGCATGCATAAGTATTTAGTCTTGCATGCTTAAAGATCGTTATCACTCTAATGCGTAACAAGTTAAGAGAAAGTGTTAAACTGAATGCTTTGTGGGCACTTGCAATTCAAAATTATAGCATCCATGGTCTATAGCCAAGTGGTATCCCCTCTCCTTTCAAAGTGAAATGTAGAGGGTTCAAGTCTCCCCAATAGCATTGTGGGAGTTCTTTACCAAGGAAATAAAAAATTTATAGCATCCATGTTTCTTGTGTTGCATGCCATGGAAAATATCGTTAATAGTTGTTTCTGCAACAATTGAACTTGAATTTCATTATACTTATCAAAAAAAAAAAAACCCTGAATTTCATTAGAGAGGCAGAGCATTATGAATCTGATGCTGATGTGTTACTTTTCAGAAAATCAATGCCATGCCCATGTTGGTGGATTCAAACTTCAGCTTTCCGAGCATGTAATCTGTTAATGAACAATGAAGGTGAGTTATGGACAGCATATGTTGGAAAATTTGGGATCAATGTCTCTATTTATCGTATAAAGTAATGATCTCTTGATAGTGGAATATTGAGTATAAATGCATGCTAATTTTAATCTACTGTATTTTTGCTTCTTGTTATGACGTGATATATGATATGCTCGTAATGACATATGGAAAGAGAGATGAGTATTCTTTACTTTACCGATCTAATTAAACCATCTATGGTTAAAGTCTACCATTTCAATTCAGCAAAGCTCCCGGAAGTTAAGTCAATTGATAAGTTGTTTTGCATCACATTACTGTATTTTGTTAATTCGTCTACGAGAATTTTTTTGTCTGAATATAATTTTCACAGAGTATGGTATAGTTCCTTCTGTTAATGTTTTTAGTAAGTATTTATGGACCGATTTTAATCTAGACGCAAGAAGAATTAGTTTATTTGATTTCAGTTAATCCAGTGAGGTCAGTTGGCACTATAAATATTTTCTCTTGAAGTTACAATGAATCATTATTATAAACAAATCAATTTAAGAATAGGAAATCAAAGGCTACATCATCAAGAGACAATCGCTTAATGCACGTGCATTATAACAAACAAAACCCAATACATCCATAAGCGCACACATGCATATTATGATATGCATATGGAACATTATGTTATGTTATATGTGTTTGGTAGTTGTCCTTGTTTAATAGAAGCATACCTTGTCTTCTTGTTATAGTCCTTTGTGCGAGTTTGTGTTAAATAAATTTTTCGTCACCAAGAGGTCATCCTCATTTATATGTTTCTTTTTAATTAAAAAAACCTTCTGTAACCAAAATAGCTTAAGTTACTAAATTTTCATGGTCCCTTTTTAACATAAGATGTTGGTCGCACAACCATGACAATAGGCTGCTTATTCTCATCCCCCGCGCCCAAGAAAACATATAAAAAAAACACCCCTATACCCTTAAGCTATCCACAAAGACAACAAATACTCCAAATATTTATAAATGTCTCCCATTAACCCAACAAAAAAGAGAATCAAGAATGGACAATATTAACACCTAAACAGAAGATTTTTCCCCATCAAAGGATCTTCTATTCCTTTCACACCAAGCCCCACCAAATACAAAGTGGAATCATTATCCATTCTAAAACCCTTACATGAGACCTTCTCAAAATACTTGTACTGCAAAGTGTGTGTGTGTGTGTGCGCGTCTCTCTCTCTCTCTCTCTCTCTCGTGTGTGTGCGTGTACCTTCTCCCTTGTTGCTTTGTGAGATGGTTCTAAGTCTTAGTATACTTTATCTTTTAGAAGGCGTACTAGTCAAGAAACAACATTTCCACTAAATAACCGTGAATATGGATGTTAGACAAATGAAAGGATAACAAAAGGAATTTTGAGAAGTTATAGGTAGCATTAACCAATGTTAAGATGAGGGCAAATTGCATTAGTTGCAACCTTCATGTGATATGGAGTTCAACTACTTCAATAGTAAGGATTAATGACTCTAATTCTAGTTGAAAGCTATTAGAATATTTATGCGTATATATATATATATATATTTATGTTTGAACAAAATGTAATTATAGTTTGTGGCCATTATGTAATTAGGCCTTTCTTATGTTTGTATATATTTTCCCTATTCATGTTAGGGTAATGGAATGAGAATACGTATATTGCAGCCCCCATAAGTCTCTCTCTCTCCTTCAGTTTCTACATGGTATTAGAGCGCCGATCGGTGCCGCTTGAAGTTGTTTGTTGACATCGCTGTGAAGAAGAGGGAGTCTGTGTGTTGGCCTCTTCATCATAGAAAGTTTTTTTTTAGATCGTGAAATTTTCAATCTGTTTCATCATCGCAACCCAGTTCTTTGCTGTCGCTGGAGTGGAATTTTTACTCGATAGTGTCACCTTGTGTTGTAGGCACTATCTCCATCACAGGTGTTTGTCGTCGTTGTGTTTTGTCGTCTGTCGAGTTGTCGATTGTGTTGAGATGGACTTGGTTTGGATTTTGTGTCATCATTGTGCCTGTGTGGTGGCTTCATTATCAGATCATCATCTTGGTTCATACATCGGTGAAGGTGTTTGCTAGCTTTGTGAGACTCGGTTCGTTGGTCAGTGGTTGCCATCGTCTTTTTTGGCCGGAAGTTGCAGAATTTGGTGAAGAAGAAGTGGGCTGTTTGGCTACTGGTATTGTTTGTCCCAGACTAGTTTAGCCTATCCCGGCCGAGTGTACATCTAAACAGGTTTGCAGATCCGACCCAGTTTCAGATCTGATTCATTTGAAGTTCCGACTCATTTTGAGGTCCCGACCCATGTGTTGACCCGGCAAACCTGGTTCAGTTAAGATTTTTTGCCTCTAGTTTCTTCTCGAGACAGTGAGCTCTCTGTGTTGTTGCTTCATTTGGCACCGAGGACTACATTAAGTTTTTTTTGTGTGTATTCTTCAATCTGCTCTTGGTTAAATGGCAGAATCTACTGCACATTCTATTATACCTAGCAGAGAATCGAACGCAGGTACTCACTGCAGTCTTCCTAATCACAATTTCAAGTATTGTTGGGACCTTCATGGGAAAGCAAAATCTTCTGCCTATGCACATCAAGTGTCCTCTATAGAGGATGGTTCTCATTCATTTGCTCCACCTACCGGCTTTCACCAGATTGCTAATTCCAACATGATTACTATTCCCTGTACTGAGTATGCTTAGTTTACGACTTAGCAACAAACATCCATCTCATCTACCATGGTTTCTTTCGCCCAATCAAGTAGGCTTGCATGTCTCTTGTCTTCCCGTCACAGTCCATGGATTCTTGATCTGGCGCATCCGATCATATGACTGGTAGTTCTCATTTATTATCTGATTTTCATTCTGTCACTCCACCTCAAAGTGTTACTCTTGCTAATGGCTCATCAACTAAAGTTTCGGGCGTAGGCACAATTCATATTAGTTCTTCTATGTCTCTCTGGTCTGTCCTATATGTTGGTCAATTCCCTTTCAATTTGATGTCTATTAGTAAACTTACTAAAACTCATCATTGGTCTGTTACATTTTATCTCACATGTTGTGTCTTTCAAGATCTTATGACGAAGAAGAAAATTGGTACAGGACATGAAATAGATGGCTTGTATTACCTTGATTTTGAGCATCATTCCATTGCTCTTTAATCCTCTTTGTCTCATTTCGAATGGCATTGTCGTCTTGGCCGCCCGTCACTCTCTGTTTTGCAGCGTCAAGTCCCAAGTCCTAGTCGTGTTTTGTCTCTGTCTTGTGAAGCTTGTCATCTTAGTAAGCATTGTCGTGTATCTTTCAAACCTAGAGTTAATAATCATAAGGCTAGTCCTTTTCAGTTAGTTCATTCAGATGTATGGGGACCAATCAAGCATACGTCTTTTACTGGATTTCATTATTTTGTGACCTTTGTGGAAGATCATTCTCGTATGACTTGGTTGTTTTTATTGAAAAATCGCTATGAGTTATTCTCTACTTTTCAAATATTTTGTAAAGAAAAAAAAACTCAGTTTAGGCGTTCCATTAAAATTTTACGTTCTGACAATGCCAAAGAATTTTGAGACTTATTTTCGTGCTAAAGGCATCATTCATCAGTCATCATGTATTTATGCTCCTCAACAAAATGGAGTCACTGAACGTAAAAATAGTCATCTCTTGGAAGTAACTCGTGCCCTCTTATTCCATATGCATGTTCCCAAACGGTTTTGGAGTTGTGTTGTTCATATTGGCTTGTCATCTTATTAATCTTATGCCATTGTCTGTGTTACAAGGGAAATCTCCCCATTCAATCCTGTTTCTTGATTCCGCACCGTTTACTCTTACTCCTCGAGTCTTTGGATGTATTTGTTATGTCCATAACCTTGGACCTGATTTTGACAAACTTGACCCCCGTGCCACTAAATGCGTGTTTCTTGGGTATTCTCGCACTCAGAAGGGTTATCGTTGTTACAGTCCCCCTCTCCAAAAGTACTTTATTAGTGCGGATGTCTTTTTTTCCAAGTCGGTCCAATATTTTTCTGATTACAGCCTTCCTCTCGATATTACTCCTGACCCATCTTTGCCACCTCTTCCCTTTGTATCCCCCATTCTATCTCCTACTCCCATTACTCCTGATCCTCCCCTATCTGTTACCCCGTTGCAGGTTTATACTTGGCGACCCAAGTTGCCTACTTTGGTTCTTCCATCTTCTTCGAAGTCTTTGGACCCGACACCATCTATTGTGTCTGATTCTTTACCTATTACTCTACGCAAAGGTTCTTTGTCTTTTGTTACTACAGATTTTTTTTCTAACTTTGTCTTGTATAGTAATGTATCACCATCTTTGTCCTGTTTTTTATCCAAATTGTCTGCTATCTTTATTCCCAAGACTTTGCAGTATACTTTTTCTAATTCAGATTGGTGCAAAGCCATGGTAGATGAAATAGATGCCCTTCATTGTTATGGGACATGGGATCTTGTTCCCTTACCTCCTGGTTCCAAGCCAGTTGGTTGTAAGTGAGTTTATACTATCAAATACCTTCATGATGGATCTATTCAGCGGTGAAGGCTCGTCTTGTTGCAAAGGGGTACACCCAGACCTATGGTGTTGATTATGATGAGACCTTTTCTCATATTGCAAAGATTTCTTCTATTCGAGTCCTTATTTCCATTGTTGTCAATTGTAACGGGCCGTTGTTCCAATTAGATGTGAAAAATGCCTTCTTATATGGTGACTGAACTGAAGAAGTTTACATGGAGCAACCACCTGGGTTTGTTGCTCAGGGGGAGTATCGCCATACTATTTGTCGCCTTAGGAAGGCCCTGTATGGATTGAAACAATCTCCAAGGGCTTGGTTTGGAAAATTCTTTGAGGTAGCATTAGCATTTGGTTTTAACATATGTTAGACAAATCATTCGGTATTTCACCAGCACATTAAAGCTGGTTTCATTTTTCTTGTGGTGTATGTAGATGATATTGTGATCAGAGGTGATGATTCCGAAGGCATTTCTAAGTTGAAATTGTTTCT